TATTAAATTAGGCTATGGGAGTATTTTTATTCTATCTATGTCATAATATTTTCCAATTGCAAAATTATACAACATTTAAATTACTGTCATAAGGCTAAGAAGCAATAACTAGACATATTACAAACCCATGCAGGAGCTCAATATTCGTCCAATAAATAATCCCTTCTCTGCTTTGCTAATTGGTGATCCTGAGACTAGACACCATGGGTGAAATGACTAAGTCAGTTTCCGGCTCTAAGAGCCTGAGGAGCAGTTAGCCATTTGTCATTGGCTGGGGAACACGTGAGGCCAAGGTAAAGGTAACAGGCATTCGCTCCACTAACTTTCTAACATCTTGTATGTCCATAATTCTATATTTTTATGTTCGTTTGTTTTTACTTTTTGACACCCATTAGCTGTAATCTCAACATTTGAAATTACAAGAATGTTTATTTGGGTGCATAGGGCATTCTTACCTTTGAACCAAGATTCATAAGCCCCAAATCTAAAACTAAAAAGGAAATAAAATTCAAACACCACTTTTTTATTGTTATGGAATGAACTTGGCAAGGAAACTTCAGATGCTTGGAGAGTTGAAGAGTCAGGAAGTTTATTATGCTAGTGGGACGCAGGTGAACTCTTGTTCTATATCCTGGGACCCTGAGTGCAGGGAGGGTTGCAGTTTTATACTTTTCTTAGGCAGGCATGCAAGCTTTCTTATTGGCCCTGCCTGTATCTAGGCAGGGTTACACAAACTGGGGACTTGAATAAGCAGCTGTACGGAAGCAGGAAGTGCAGTCAGGGTTGCACAAGTTACATCGACTAGGGACTTGAGCAAGCAGCTGTACAGAAGCGAGATGTACGGTTACCCTGCTGGGGTCTCAGCTAAAATTTTCATTCAGACCCCCCCCCTCAACATTCCCCCCTTTGATGCTCCTTCTACGGTTTGGAGTGAGCATCATCACTTGTATGTTCATTTTCTCTTCTCAATATGTCAATGGTAAAAATCAAGCAAAACATTAAGAAATCTATCTTCTAATTCATTTTTCCCTTCTTACTGAATAAATCTGAGTAAATTGTACATGTTACAAAATGGGGACATGTACAAGAACCCCCAAAACTAGATGTTTAAAATGGGGACTTCTCTATTGCCCACAGTAAAGAATCTTATCTCCAATTTTTGTGTAAAACAATATTTAGGGGAAATTTTAAGTCCTGAAATATAGCAGACTAAAGGATTTATCAATCTACTAAGGATCCTCAAAGTTCCTGGAGAATGGTCTATTTCAGATGAAATTAGCAAACAGGGTATGAAAATAGCAGAGAGGTAAGCACTATGGTTTGAATGTTTTGTCTTTCCAAAACCCCGTTGAAACAGAATCCTTAATGAAACAGTTGAGAGGTGTAGCCTAACGGGAGGTGTTTAGGTCACAAGGGCTTTGTCCAAGGGCTTCTGGGAGTGAATTTTCTCTGATTACTCTTTTGTTATGTGAGAGCATAGCAAGAAGTCTTTCCCAGATGAATTCATAACCAGAAACCTTTCCATAATGAAAGTCCTGGGAAAAGACACTTGATTAATTCTATTAAATATTTGAGTAGGATATTAACAATCCTATACACACTCTTTTAGAAATGCCAGTATTACTTTCATAGCAAGATAAATATACATATATATTACATATATATATATATACATATATATTGCACACACACAAAAGGCCAATTTTTTCATAAAATATATGTAAAATATTTTTTAATATCTTGAAATTAAACCTATCAATGTGTAATAAATGATGATGTATTATGAAAAACTTTGTTTTATCTCAGGAATATAAGATTGGTTCATTGTTTAAAACTCAATCACCCTTTTTACTTCCCTGAGAAAGAGAAACATATTTCTTTGAGAAGGCAACAGGAGGAGGCACCTTGTTCAGGTGGCTGATGACTCCATGAAAGCATAAATCAATGGCTAGCTAAAGTTCCCACACTACTAGGCTTTGTTCTGGACCTTACGTTACTTCCCTGAGAAAGAGAAACATATTTCTTTGAGAAGGCAACAGGAGGAGGCACCTTGTTTAGGTGGCTGATGACTCCATGAAAGCATAAATCAATGGCTAGCTAAGGTTCCCACACTACTAGGCTTTGTTCTGGACCTTACGGGTAAGTAGTTGGAGAAGGGTTTTAACATTCTCCATTTTTATTTTCTTCTCTGAGAACACAAACCATATCAACAAGCCTTTATCCATAGGTCTAAAACCTACTTTAAATGGTCTGACTATGATTTACTGGTGTGCTTGCTCTTCTATTTACTCTTGCTTTTCTCCTTAGATGCCTCCTGCTGTCTGCTAGACTGATGGCTTGGGTAAAGACTGAGAAACTTTTTCTGTGAAGAGCAAGATAATAACATTTTTAAGCTAGTCGGCAATGGACTCTCCTGCAACTAGTCAACTTCACAGTTGCACCATGAAGTAGACATTGACAATGCATAAATGAATAAGCATAGCTATGTTCCAGTAAAACATTATTTGAAAAAGCATGTGGTATGTTAGTTTTAGTCAAAGGCTGTTATTTGACCACATCTTGCTTAGACCATTAATCTGGTGGAGACTTTTCCTGAAGACTTTTAATAACCATGTGAGTTAGTACTTTAGATGATAAAAAGTTGTGCAGGTTTATCCAGACATTTTCCTCTGTATCAGGAGTTCTTGTATGTTGCACTAGTGAGCTTTCTCTGTGATGGTACAAATCACCAATTGTTTGATCACTGCCTAAGAGGAAAAATGCATATTTTTTTAACATTTGTTTTCTTTATCTGTTTGAATTCCAGCTTCACAGTATGGATTATGAAGCATTGTTCTGAATTGCTTTTATTGGTGACTGCAAAATGTGTATCGTATGCTGGAGTCCCAACTGAGAACATTACTCCTCATGAATTGATTACAAGAAAAAGAGCAGGAAAATGTTCTGAATAATGGTCATTCCTGCCAGGTGTCCTCTACCCTCTGATTTCTGAATTGGGGCTCTTTCTGACCTCCCCAATATCCTTTTCTACCCATTACCTTAAGATGAGCTCAATGAATCCATGTAAACAGCAACTGAAAGCCTGTAAGCAGACCCCTGAATACAACCAGGTGTGTGTGGCCATCACTTCAGATACTCCTTCTATTTTTTTTTTTTTTTTTTTTTTTTTTTTTTTT